CTCTTGGGCCTTTTTCCTCGTTTAGGGCCAGGAGGACCTTGGCCATCCGGGCATTTAAACCTGCCGTTGGGTCCTCCCGATTGTTAAAAACCTTCTGGGCCACCTCAACCAACTCAGAGATTGATTTCCCCTCAAAGCCCTCTAACTTCTGCAACTTTTTCCAAATATCTGGGACTGACTGGGAAACAAATGCAACAATGGCAGCCCTCCGACTTTCCAGGGCATCAGGGTCAATGTGGGTATACACCCGAAAGGCCTCGCACAGCCTCTCAAGGAAAGCTGCCGGGCTCTCATTAGGCCCCTGGACTGTCTCTGTCACCTTAGAGAGGTTTGTGGGTCTCCGAGCAGCAGCTCGGATGCCCCCCAATAGAGTCTGGCGATACCGATCGAGAGCCTCCTTTCCCCTCTCACTATTGGGGTTCCAGTTGGGCCGCCTGGAGGGAAACACAGCATCTAATCTGTCTTGGTCAGATGTAGGCTGCCCATCTGGACCCAGCACAAATCTCCTCCCTTCCGCCTTGACTCTCTCTTCTGAAGTGGAAAGGGTTTGCCATAACTGCTGACAATCATCCCACGTAGGTTGATGGGTAAAAAACACAGACTCCAAAAGAGAGATTAACCCCTGTCCCGCACACTCCCTACTGGGGATGTGCCCGCAACTAAGGTACATGCCTCTGACCAGAATCGAACCTGAGACCCTTGAGTCCGCAGGCTGACGCTCCATCCACTGAGCCAAACCGGTTAGGGCTGCTGACAGATTCTTGAAGTAATTTCTTACCATGGTTATTATGAATAATGCTGCAGTAAACATAGGAGTGCAAATACCTTTTTCAGATACTGATCTTGGTTTCTTTTGGATAGAGTATAACAGAAGTGGGACTGTTGGACCATATGTTTGTTCTATTTTGAATGTTGTGAGGAACTTCCCTACAGTTGGTCTGAATGGCTGTATTGAGGTGCCGTCCTACAGTGTACAAAGGTTTCCTTTCTATCACATCCTGGTTAATACTTTTTATCTCTTGTTGTTTTTTGTTAGTAGCCATCCTAACAGCTCTGAGGTGGTATCTCATTGTGGTTTGAATTTGCATCTTTGTGGTATCTCTTTGCCATTTGTATGTCTTTGAATAAATGTCTGTACACATCCTCTGCCATTTTTAATTGAATTGTTCTTTTGTTGTTGAATTGCGTGAGTTCTTTATATATGCATTCTGGATTTTTTATTTCCTCACCTGAGGACAGGTTCATTGATTTATTTATTTAGAGAGATAGGGGAAGGGAGTAATGGAAGGAGAGAGATGATAGAGATAGAGATAGAGATAGAGATAGAGATAGAGATAGAGATAGAGATAGAGATAGAGATAGATAGAGATAGAGATAGAGATAGAGATAGAGATAGAGATAGAGATAGAGAAACATGGATGAGGTTGTGCCAGGAGCCGGTCTATCCTCGCTGTTTCAAGGGACCTGGCGTATATGGCATACTGTTCTTAATATGTTTGCTCACCTTCTTTGCACTAACTTAGAAGACAGAACCTACACAGAACCTAGAGACAGAAGAACTTCGCTGGAGAGAACATGGCAAAAGATCCTGGACAGAACCTGGCTACAGAACCTGGCTACCGAACCTGGCTGGAGAACCGAGCGAGAGAACATGGCTACAGAACCTGGCTGGAGAGGCTGGAGAGCCTGGCTGGAGAACCTAGCAAGAGAACATGGACACAGAACCTGGCTGGAGATCCTAACCAGAACTTCGCTGGAGATCCTGACCAGAACTTGGCTAGAGAACCTGACTGGGCTGCTGATCAACTGAACGCTGTCTCTGTGTCATTCCTTCTTCGCCGACTCCGTCCACACCTTTGGGGACCTCCGGACCTGCTGGGGTTGGACCCCAGCATGTGGATTCTGGGAGAAAGAAGGATTCTGGTTCTTCCAATTGTACAGGTCACTAGTTGAAAAGGGGGACATAAATCATGAAAGGCTGGCCATCCAGGCCCAGGTCCGGTGGCCTAGCCTGCCTCAACGGCAGGAGAGGCGCTGGGGCTGCTGGCCGAACACCTCCGGAAGCTCCATATTCCGTTCCCTGTCTAGTATGGGACGGACTGAAGGGGTTGGAGGATGACAAAGCCCCTCCGACCGGGGGCGTTGGGGGAGGTAGGGGCTCCGGGTCAAGAGCCGGTGGCGTGGCCTGGGCCTGAGGCCTGGGCTCACCTGGATCCAGCGCTGGGGGAACATAGGGAGGCGGTCTGACCCCGGGGGGTGCCTTCTCACCCGGACCTTGCAGAACAGGGGGAGTTTTGCCCTTCAGGGCCGAAGCCAAGAGGACTGTCTGTCTCTGTCCCAATTTCTTTTTCTTATTCTGACAACTCTTTAACCACCTTGGTTTTTCAGCCAAAATACTGACCCACACTTGAATATAGGGAATTTGGTGGGGGTGACCCGGCCGGCCGTAGACAACATGGTGAACCCGATAAGCAGTGGTTAAATCAAAAGTCTCTACGTCCGGCCATCCCACCTGGAAAGTGGGCCACTCCCGTTCACAGAATTTCTGCAAATCAAAAGCATTACCATCATATCCGTAGTCTCCGGCTCTCTCCTTGAAGTCCTGAAAATTCTTAAGAAAACATTGCAGTGGGGAGCACACAGAAGCAGACGATGACTGCCCCATTTTGACAAACACCAAGACAACAAACACTAAGACAAACAAACACCAGACAAACCCGGTGCAGCCTAAAGCTGCACCTACCAGGGACCCCGGCCACCATGGTGGCCGCAGGTCAGGACCAGCAGTACCGCTGCTTCCAGCCCTCTGTATAGGTCTTTCTGTGGGACGTCCCAATTCCTGTTTAACGACCGGTCCTTACCTCTCTCGAGAGTCCAGGTGGCTCGGTTTCCGAATTGAAAGTTTTTGGGTGGACTGGAGGCCTCCTTGGTAGTCGTTCCCCACAGGGATGTGGGGTATCTTGCTGCGTGCCCGGCAACAAGTGGGGGAGAGCCTCCTACCTTAAATAGGGGGGGGTCCCTCTCACCCCTGCAGGGGAGAGCCTCCTGCCCTAAATAAGGGGTCCCTCTCACCCCTGCCAGGGATCCCGGGCGAGCCCCCAAATGTTACGGGTTCAATCAGTGAGATAGACCACTGACTCAAAGTTTAAATTTTAAGAGCCTTTATTAAGCTGGCCAGCTGACTATAGCTGCGTAAGAGCCTCGCAGCTTGCAGTGCAGACCGAGAGTACAGCAAAGCCTTTTATCTGCAATATTACGAAGTATTTCTGAAAAGAAAAAAACAAACTGCAAAGCGGTTCATTAGCCATCTCTGATACTGGCTGGGTAAAAGTTCTCATAAAGTTTACAAGTACAAACGGGAGGAAAGCAAGGCCACACCTGGCTGGGTTTAATCATAACACATTGCTTTTCTAGCGAGATAATTAGCAATTTTTCTCTCCCATGGTCCCTGCCCCTCAGCCTACTCAGTCATTCTTCTTTGCCAGGCCCCAGCCCCTAGCACAGTCAGGGCACATGCTCAGGGTGCAGGCTAGATCCCCCATAGGAGGTGTGCAGGAGGCAGCCGATCGATGATGCTCTTTCATCACTGATGTTTCTCTCTCTCTCTCTCTCTCTCCCCCTTCCTCTCTGAAATCAATAAAAACATATTTAAAAATATGCTTCCTGCAGTGTGTTCCAAATGAAAAACCACATTTGATAAAGAAAAGTACTAAGATCAGATACCAGCCTCTGCTCACCATGCACCGAGCACTGCTTTAAATATTTGCATGGTGAGGACATGAGGCCAGACGGGATAAGGCGACCGTGCGTTCACAGGGCTCGTGGGCAGCCTTTCCGGACCCAGCGTCAGCGGTCCTGCTTCCAGCTGGACTCGGCCCACTGTGACCCGCACCTGCAGCCTGACGGGGGTTCCTTCTCCTAGGGGAGATGGCCAACTTCTAGAAAGATTGAACAATACCCTGAATTGCTTGTAAGTGCACAGCCCTTGCGCCTCAAACTACGTATAAAAAATAACCCGGCGCACAGGTCGGAAAGCGAATCTCGGTCGCTCGCGCTGCTCGTGGGTTTCGGTGCTTGGGGTGGGAACCGACTAGGTGGGGAGCCCTCTGGCCGCATGCCCGGCGCCACCGGGATCAGGTGCTGCTGCTGCGAACACCACGGCCCCTGCTCCACTTCCCCTCCCGGTGCCCGCGCTGGCTGGGCGGGAGGAGGGAGGAGGCCCCGGCCCGGTTC